AACGATGACACGACTAGTCCAACAGCACAGCATACTCCACCAATCAGCATTGCTTTACGACATCCGTAACGATCGCATAGTTTGCCAATCACTATGCCATATAAGGAGGCAGAGGCAATACCAACGGAGCCTGGGATGGCTGTAAATGGAATCGAAATGAGGCATTATCATCAAGGAGAACTTAAAACAACAACAACAACACGGTCACGCAGCCATTTTACGTAGATTTGAAGTTTGTAAATGATTCGATGAAAATAGCGCCCTATAGAACTGTGGAAGAAATTAATAATTCTTGAACCTTGAAACTTTTTAGTGTAGTTTTCTATGCCCCCCTGATTTTCTCGACGGTTGCTTTGGCGCGGTTTTACTAATTTATGTGACGTCACCTAGATAGTTATTTAGTTAGCTAAGTTTTTCACAGTTTGGCTAAAAGCACTCTAGTTTGGAAGATTTTCTTTTTCCTTGATGCTGTTTATAGCGAGTTTAGCGATGAGTCATGATCAGTCATGTGTGACAAGAGTAACGCCAATGTTATCGTAGAGATGTGTTTTACATTTGGTTACCATGGAAACAATGCAACAAAACATCATTTTTACTAGTACTGACTAAGGCTTTTTTCAACTGTTTACTGATTAAATGGCGATTTTTAACTGTTTAGTGACTACAGGCATACCCCATTGACACCCTCATGTGTCATGTCGCGTTTGGACGACCGGAAGTTAAGAATTTAATGATTAACTGTTGGGTTGGCTGTGTTATTACATGACCGGAAGCTCAACGTATAGATGTACGAATATCGCAAGTAAATGCTAGATTCTACTTGCGATTTTATGTGATAAAAAACTATTGGTTTACAAATGTGGTATCTGTGCTCTCATCGGAATGCATCAGTCTAGCCATCAGAAGTACGCGCATTTTTTAAATAAAAGATTTAAATTAATTTTTTTTGGCCTAAGAGGTCAACAATTTCAATTAAAAACGCATTATTAGATCAGTCACTTAAGGCTGATTTACACGGTACGATTTGTCGCGCGCGACTTGCAGTATACGACTTGAATCGCGCAGTGTAAATGCCCCTACGACTTGTCTACAACAGTCGTACGCAACCTACGACTTGTAGTAGGATTTTGAACCACTGCTTAAAATCCTACGACTTGTAGTAGGAAAATCGTATACTACAAGTCGCGCGCCACAAATCGTACCGTGTAAAGCCTTTAGCGACATTTAGTCTACCACGCTTGACTTTATGAGTTCAGTTGTAAGTTGATCGCAAGGTATTAATTACATGACCTTTTAGATCAAATTTAGATTTCTATCGTTTTGAAGTCGTTGCAGAGAGGAGTCAAAAAGAATATCGTATCGTGTGAATAAACGGTTTTGAACTGTACATCAATAAAGTGAAAGTAACGCATTCTTGCTTTCACTATGTATTAGAAGTACAAAATATATATTCTACGCCATAATTTACATTCATAATATAATCATATGATTAAACAGAACATAACATCCTAATTTCATCGTGTTGAAAACCTTTCACTCGTGTCTTAATCTATTTTCAAAAATAGCTAGTCCGACTTCACGTTCCAGGAGCGTCTAGATTTATTGAGTTCTCAACCATTTTGAGATCAGCATTTCAGAAATATGTAAAGATGATACACATATTTAACTGAATTTAAATAGCTACAATATCTTTTTTTACAATAAATTTATTTTTAAGAATCATAAGTTTTCTGACGAAATTAATTTTTTAATAGTCAGACAGTTATCAAAAGCATTCATTCATATTGGTCAATTACTTTGCAACGGAAAGGGACAAAATTGCACTAGTTAGTCTRGCTAGCCGTAGGCTAGGCCGACTTTAGTTTTACCTTTTTGTCTATCTATGTATCATGTCGCGTTTGGACACCGGAAGTTCAATCCGCAACCTTCGGGGTTCTTGTGACATTTCGTCACATAACGTAACCGGAAATCAAACAACTTCATCCGGGATCCCTGTGTCATTGAGTCACACATGAAGTTATGATAATCATTATGTGCTCAAACGTCGTATAAGTTTACCTCCGAGTCTGCGGCACATCACCGTATGTATCACATTTTGCTTGACTTATATACTAATGAATTTGCTTATTAAGAACCATGTGGGAATGTGGTATCTGTGATCTCACCGGAATGCCATCAGTCTAGGCGTCATAGGAAGCACGCGCATGTGCAGATCGCATGGAGCTTCGAGAAGTATGCTTGAGATACTGAATCGATGACCTTTCTAGCTTTAGACGGTCTTGTGTGGGCAACGATTTCAAATTAGAACAAGAAGAAACTTTGTTTATCAATAAAAAAGGCGACTTTGATTATCTTATAAGCGTCTTTTATGTTGTAAAGTATTTATTTTCTTCAGTGGCCTGAAAGGTCAATTTAATTAAAAGTATTAGTTATCATGATATCACTTCGCGACATTTAGTCTACCGCGTTTGATTTTATCAGTCAAAGCAATGCATGTCACGGTGGTGTGGCTACATGACCTTTTATATTTTGCATATTTTGAACTAGACTCTCTTATAGCGTGAAGTCGAGCTATTTTGGAAAATTGAGAAAGACAGGATATTTCTACTGGCTCAGTATTTCTAGCGTTTTAACGTCGTTTGCAGAACTAGTAAGAACTTTGAGTTCGTTGACTGACACGTTCCGAAAATTACGCTGAACATCTTTAAGTGTGAGCCTACCACAAACGGCGTGTGAGAAGATAAAATCCGTAAAACTTGTAAGTGAGATCAGCGTTCTAGGGTTGATTTTCTTGATCATATTGCTTTTCTTGGTCACAAACCAGGTCACGGGAGCTATAAAGTGAAACTGGATATTGCGATCAGGCCACGAGGCTGAAGTCATACTAATAATACATGTCAAAAATGAAAACAAAGCGCGGATTGGTTAAGTTTGACATCCCCATGGAAACTGAGACTGCAGACCATCTGCAACGCAGGCGTTACCAATGTGAAGCGTAATATTCACGAAGACGACGACGAAGACGAAAAAAGTCTACTTGAATTTTTAGACGTGAGCTTCTACATAATATTTTACCGAACTGAAGGTTAAGTAACTTCTTTAAGTATCCTGTCTTTCTCAGTTGTCCGAAATAGCTAGCCCGACTGTACGCTCTAAGAGCGTCTAGTTTGATTATACAGGACAAAGGATTTTGCCGCTACTTTAACTAATGTGTCCTTGCAAGGGATTTCATTTATGAATACACTGATATCAAATGTACTATACGAGGTGCAAGTAGTACTGACTTTAAGGAAAGAAAGCTTGCATAGGAGTACTACATATGAAGTATTGATTCAATAGTCTCCTTCATCCTCCTGCGCCATCTTGAAAGGTAGCCGTGCCTTGTCATCGAAGCGAGACAACCGTTGAGCGTGCAATGATAGAAACCTTCTTTCACACCTATAGACAATTATTCACAGGTATCTATCATTGCACACTCAACGCTCGTCTCGCTTCGATGCAAAGGCACGGCTACCTTTCAAGATGGCGCAGGTATCCGTGAAGGAGACTATT